GTTATAATTAAGCTCACGTCTATATTCTGACAGACACATTAGTTTAAGAGGTATAATACGTTTATACAATTTTGAATTGATATTTGCATATATTTGATTAAGCCTATATAGTATTTAGCCATTTCGATACTAATACATAAAAATATATTGTATAATATAATATAACATGTTAATTTTAAATTTAATACTGAATCATAAGATTGCAGTAATTTTAAAATAATAATATTTTAGACTTTCAATTTTCATAATGGAAAATATTATATTGTTAACGATAGTTATTTTTAATCTACTAAATTAATTCATATCCATTGAAAAAGTCCATGAGATATACAGTTATGTACCAAACGCATGATCAGATACGCTCATCTTAATTTAAAAAATAAACAACATCTAAACAAATTTGGATGAAGCTATCTGTAGTAACTAGTAACCATTCTTTCTCTGAATAAAATTCAAGTATAAAGTCCCGTACACAATAATTTTTCAAACTTTCAAACTTTTTTCTCTAGGCCTTTTAATTGTTAAAGTTTAAAATGTAAAGGCTGTACGATGGTAGGTACTTATATAATGTTTAAGTGTTTATCTTTTACTTTTACTACTTTAATGACTGATGTCATTTAATATTCGAAGGTAAGAAATATAGTAAGCACTAAGTATCTATAGTTTTTATAATATAAATTATTTTATATATATTTTATTGTCATTTATTATTTTCCCCCTTTGAACTGTAGTCAGATTTAGATTTCTATCAAAATGTTTCGTAAAATATTTACAAAAATGCAAAAACTATAAAATATTATCCAAATACTGTAAAATGTGTTGAAATATGAAGTAAATATAGCTTCGTATTTATTTATCCTCAGCGTTAGGGACGTATTTTGTGCTTACTCGACATATATTATATGTGACCAACCAGAAACTAACATAAAATAACAATATTTGAATAAGTCCATGATATTCGAATCTAATATAAACTTCAATATGAGTAATGTATATAATAAGCAATAAGCAAAATAGTTTTAATTATTTTAATGATGACGCTAATAAACTTCAATGAGTATTAATTGTATAGGTAATAAATAATAGTCATGGCTTTGATATGAATAAAAGTTATATTCAAATGGATCGAGATGGATTAAACAGTATAGTAACTAATGCCAAAAAAAAAAAAATTATTCTCGAACCTTTAGAATTTGATATAAAGGTAGTTGTGAATGGGTCGATAATTGACATTTCCTTCAGTTAATTATTATGTTACATTTAAACTTATTAAATGAAAATAAATCTATATTATAATATTATCATAACACACATATATTTTTAAATGGTAAATACGTCCACATTTCCTATATTTGTATCTACATGTAGGTACATAAACTTTAAAAAAGAAAATAATAATTTTTGAGAATTACATATGTATATTAAAAATATATTCAATTTTTTTAACCTTTTAATTCAAACCTCCTATAATATATACTGTTCATTTGTGTTTTTATGTATGTAATAACTTTAATATATCATAGAAAGTTACTTAGATTTAGATTGAATTAATTTTATTTTATTCATGCATTTTACTTTATTAGAAATGTATAATTTTATGTAATCTTTATTTATAATTTGTTTGTGTGTGCATTTTTTAAATATCATTTCTGAAAATATTATTATTTCATTTTTTTTTTTTTTGTAAGTGCTAAAGTCATTACTCATTTTTAAGATGACTCAGGAAGAGACTGAATAATGTAGATTAAAAGAAGGTAAGTAGGCGTGTTGAACTTTAAAATATGTAACGCGGTTGATCTTTGTTCTTTTAACATAAATACTATTATACTTGCAAGTTGCAACGTACACGTATTGTATTGAAAATTGTATCACCGTTTTTGTTGAGCGTTAAGATTATACTTTAGTTTGAAATATTATTCATTTTTAACGATGAAATCAATTTTAATTAATCGTGTGAAGTTAATGTCTAAAGTACTAAAACTAAATATTTAGATACATTTAGACGTAAAGGGTTTCTAATTATTAAAATATCAACGATATGAATAATGTTAAAGATACATTGACTCATCGGTATTTTAACATTTATTATCCCAGCGATACATCCTGCAGAGAGGTAAGCTTAAAGGAATAACCTTCAGTTCAAGAAAGGTAATATTGATGGTCAGCGTAGATATAACTACATACCTACGTTTAAGTTATGTATTAATAATAAATCGTCTCAAATTTAAAAAAAATCATAAAATCCAAAATATAAAATAAAAAAGGATACCGAATAGTTTTATGTTATTGAATATAGGTAGTAATTTTCGGTATATTAAAATATAGCCGATATTATGATAATATAATAAATAGATTACCAATGTCTGTAGTCTTAAAATATTATCTGTTGGTCTGCTGCAAGTGAAGACAAATAGCATTGTACCATGCTTTTTTGCATCAGGCGATGGTATATTATTATAATTTGTATATTATGACCATACAGATAATTTCAAGAAATAAATCCAATCGTGTTATGTAAAAATATTATTAAGCATACTATATAATATAATAATAATATATCCATTATTATTATAGCAAATAGTGTATTGATTTTGTGAAGAAAATATATAATTTCTTAGAAACCACACCACCGTTCCTTTTGTATTCGATTATCCAGCGAGTTCGCTTGTGTTGAATGACGGCCGCGCAATGGTAATTGAATTTTCTTCTGTTACGATCACTCGCGTATTGTCGTTTGATTTCTTTCTGCTCAGTGTTTTTTTTCTCGTCATCGTCGTCGTCTTCTTCTTCTACTTCGTCTTCTCCATCAACACTAACCTTTTAAAAGTGTACACGCCTATCATGTGACCCTTGTGGGGCTCAAAATGCGACACATGGCTAAAGTGGTCTTAGTCCCCATTAAAAATATATACTCGATAATAATATTATTAAATTTTATATTTACATACTCGCAGTAAATAATATAATAGACACGGTATTTTAATTTCATTCATTTTTCTTTAATATCCGCACATAGAGTATGGAAATGCAAAATTTCATTATTGAAATGGTTTTATTTACTCTGAAACGTATTGGTGTATTTTTTTGCTACCTATGCAATATATATTATATCAAAAGCGGATATGATGTGCAATACTGGCGTAATGAAAATTACAGCTATTCTTCCGAACGATCCGTATCATGAGTGGTATATGGCATGTGTACGAGGTGGTGTGTAAATGATACATATGTAATATAATATAAGATAAATCGCTTTATAATGTATATCACAGTTAGTAATTGTAATTTATTTTTTGCGGCCTGTTTTTTGACCCCATATTAACTAAAAGCCATTTAAAATAAAATTGTAATAGGAATCTAAAAATTTTAGAAGGAATAAATATAACAAATATTTGTAAGGGTATGACAATGTCGAGTATTTATTTTTATAAAAAAACGCATAAATAATCATTCAACCAAATATAAAAAATTTCAGCAAATTATTTTAAAAAACTTCTTTGTAAGGTAGGTAATATATATTTTTAAACAACCAACATTTTTTTGAATACTGAGCTATGTTTTATCACTTCCTCAATAATGTTTTCATATGTTAATGTTTCCAAAATATCTTTATTTAAATGCATTAACATCCATGCATCCAGATTTTCTATCGATAGACGGTTTTTAAGTAGGTTTTTAATAAAACTTAAGGTAGAAAAACTCTTTTCACAGCCTACCTGAGTGCATGATAGTGTTGAAATATACATATAGGCTAAAAATAAATTGCTATATGCTTTAACATATAATCTATATTTAAACAATACATTAAAACAGCAAAGAAAACAATTTAAACACCGTATATTTCTTTTGCATAGGTTTTGTTCAAACTCATTTTCTTGCAAACATTCTAAATCTAATTCTGGAAGTTTATTTTCCTCATCACTTCTATAACTTGCATATACTTCAGGTAAATTTAATTTAAGCTTATCCCATTTTTTGGTAAAATCTAGAAATTCTTCCCTTAAAATAGAAGTATTTTCTAATCCAAGAACTTTACTAAGTTCGAAAAGAGCAGTTGTGGGCAATGGTTTTGAAAATTGACGAGGATCTAAGCATGTAAAATCTGAACATATTTCAGCGTGTTTAGCAAAACGTTGTTCTAGTTTACAAATCACTGTATCCATCGCTGTGTTATGAACATTAAATTTAAACAAGTCAATAGCAGTTTCAGTAACAGTTTCATTTTGGTTCTCACCATACAATGTTTTTTTCTTACGTATCCGCACATTTGGCAAATTATCCGGGATCAAATTATTAATTTCATCTACTAGGTAGTTTAATTTTGTTCATAATAATACAATAATTATTTCTGTCCTTTTATCAATTTAAATTGATTTAAATATTAAATTCCATAAAATAACGATTGAAATAAATTTTTTTTTATCAAATTAAGATAACCACCATGGACTCGCGGTCCAATATAATATATATTAATAGTTACGGCGGTACGCCAGTACGGCCACTTTTTGCTGCGGCCCACCGGGAAATTTCCCGGTATCCCGGTGGGCTAGTCCAACCCTGTAATATCACACGTGTACGTAACAATTTGGAAACCAGCCCCCCTTCCACAAAGATATTTTAACAAACTTCCACCTACGATGTGTAAACATAATAATAATAATAATAATAATATGTCGTACAGTCTTCGTGGTCGTGTCGAGATACGAGCGAAACGTTGACAGAGAGCCCTCGACGTGATGGGTAGTCATCGCGGAGACGTATTTGTTTATGAGCTCACCGTGTGTGTGTGTGAGTGGGTCAACCGTTTCGGTGGTTCGTTTTGTTAATTAAACCATTGTGCGAGTTCGAGGTCGAAGAGATGACGTGAGTCGGAGGTGTGCGTGACGAGTGGGGGGGGGGGGGCAGTGCCGGGAAACGATTTTGAAAACTCCGCGCGGAGACACACGTACAATACGCCTCCGACGCCACCGCCGCCGTACCATATTATACCATTATACTGCTTACAACCGCCTCTCCGCGTTGCCGTAAAACATTGGCGCGGTGTAAGCGTTTACGAAAGTTGGTCGCTTTGTTGTTGCCATCAGCTTGATTAATGTGGTTTTATCACCGGCGAACTTCGGTGTGTCTGGCACCTCCCGTGGAGGAGGCGTATCGTTCCGACCGAACGTTATTTTCATCGGCTTGGCTCCTCGCGGCCGGCCCGGCGAACCTCGGTAAACCCGTGGCGACGAGTCCGACTCCGGACTTGGTTGACGGAGTTTCGATGCGGTGCTGAGAGAAGTTTCCGAGTACCACATTATATGTATTTATGTACGTGTTATTGGACAGTGGTAAAACTTTTTCGACGATTTTTCAAGTGGTTCTAATAACATATATCTAACAATAATATTATCATGTCCATACAATATTATAGGTATTATAATATTATGGTAACGAATCTTGTTATCTCGTGCAAGGAGTGTTAGGGAGTGGGCACACCACCGAAATATGACACAGTTTTAGGTTCTGCGATTCCCCGATGCCGCATAATTATGTAATATTAATAACATTAGATATTATATTATTATGGTTCATTTGGAAACAAAATGCGTCTCTTTAACTCTTTGTTTTATTTCATTTAAAAGGTTTCGCTTTAAAATTGCGTTTTGAATTATGACTGTAATGACATTTACTGTTAAATAAAATGAAACTTTAATGAACTTTTACATTTTATCTGCAGTTTGGGTCAACTTAAATTTTATGAAATATTTAACGTTGCTAAATTATTTTTAAACAGACCATCTATAGAGCAGTTTAAAGTTTATGATACGAGTATATGGGATGCTTATGTAGATTGAACACAATGCAATATTTTCGATTTGCTGTACTGGTTCAAAAAGTTTAAATTACTATAGTTTGTCCACTAATTAGTAATCATTACTTACGTGAAAAAAAAATTCCAAAGATAAAGATAATTAATTTTGTTTTGTAATCAAATTGTTTTTATACTTAAATTATAACACACCCGCTTTCAAATGAAGTGAATCTTATTATTTATTTAAAATATATATGCGTATATTATATTTATGTATTACATTAATCAAAAATTCTTTAAGAAGTTTACGTTGAAACGAGCAAAGTCACACAACTCACAATTCCTTAAACAGATAACTTTTTACACTGTAATTTTCATTCTTTAAGAATAATAACTTTCCAAACCTCCTCCTATATATATAATTAATATAATATTTATAAAAAAGTTTTCTCTTTAATCCAAACAAAGGAATATGGAGATAATTTAAGAAAATAAAATACTTGGATTTTTAAATTTATGTAATTATATCTTCTACATAATTGTACTCTAAGTATATTTCATAAACTATTAACGAATGAAGATAAAATATTATCTTGTATTAAATATTATTTGAATTGTATTTACTTACTATTTAATTTTTTTTTTAAAACATATCAGTTTGACTTAAATTCCATTAGAAACACATAATTCAATTTTTTTTTTTTATTAGGAATAAATTAACAAGTAGATCAAGTAATTTAGATAGTGGCTACTTCTACCGACACTGCAATTTTATAAATTAGCATATATACGGATAAAAAGAAACAAATACAACAATATTCCTAAACCTCAAATGGCAAAATATTGGGAAAATCCAATCACCAAACTCAATATAATAAAAATACAACATTCTAATATGGCACCTATGAGTTTATTTTAAATCTTATCTCTAAACATATAAATAGCTTAATTTTCAAAAGTTAAAATTTTTAAGTTTGTATCAAGTTTGTATCCAAAAATGTTCACAAACTTTCTTATGTTCGTAGTAGAATTAGTCTCATTCTTAAATGGTTATTCATAATACATAACTATTGTGAATATCATAGTTTATTTTACGAGTAGTTTTTAAAGTTGATTTGAGATTTTTTAAAATAATATATATAAATTAGACTTGCATTAAAATAATCTATCCCCGCTCACACGTACTTATACTCTTAACAATTAATGAAGTAGAGATAGACAGTTTGATTATTTACATTCGATTATTAGAATCAATGGACTGATTTTTACGGGACTTTCATTGCAGACTTCCTTTAATCTTTGGAGTGTCACAGCCACGTATCATCACGATATCTCATCAGAGAGTTGGCTGACAACAAAATGGCAGTGCTACCTTAAACTGCGTTTGTTTGTTAAATATAAATAAATCTATACGACTGTTAAGAGATTGAGTAGCAACTTAGCCGCAATAAAAGTTCTGTTCGAATAAGACCTATGTTGTCAAGATAATTTTCATGTTTTCTACTAAGGATCTGTTTCATAAGCTGAGTACCTATAAAAGGTTAGTAAAATTATTCCTTTTTCCGGATTTGAATGAGTGATGTATGAGTGACACTTCAACTTTTACCGTATTCAAATAAATTAATAAAAAATTAATTTAATTTCCTTAAATAGTTTATAAGATACCTATGTATCTTATAGTGTCTAGGTTTTATATAATATTTCTTAAAACACTCCTCTGCCTATTCCGCTTGCTTGATTTGTAACGTGCAATATTGTACATCTGAAATTCTAAACGGCTAGTGCAATTTACTATTTTATTTGAGTATATGACTACATAAAGTTAATATTTAAAAACCTTAATTAATATGTTTTTCTTAAGGTGCAATAAATACATAATATATTCAATTACAGTAAAAAAAGATTGTTTAGTAATACCATTTTTGATAAGGAAATATTAAAATTTAAAATTCATTTATTTTTTGAGGGGGACATATTCACCAAAATATAGTCTTAAAAATACACTGCATGGATAAAATGTAAAAGCTCTGTTAAACTTAAAGTCGAAACTTTTCAAATAAATGTCTAAATAAAATTTAAAGAGAAAAAGTTGAATAGCCATCACCGTTCCAAGCGTTGTTTATGCAAAAAAAATGCTAAGATGATATATATATCTATATTATTTACAATATACGTCATGTATGTATGCATTATTTATATTTATTTTTCAACATACGTATCTTTGAAGGAAATTTATCACGCATACGAGCAATGAGCGGTCTTTTATGCCTCTACGCATAAGGCCATTGTCCTGGACTGGTGAAACTTTCCGAACTTGAGATATAGTTTGCGGGTGTACTTGACTCGAATACGTAATACATACAGCTTGGGGGATAATCATCTCCGTGGGTGTGACAAGAGTTACGATCGATGTATTACATCTTTCAAAGAAATTTTTATTTTATAAAAAAAATAAAGGCGTCTACTGTTTTATCTGATGGATCATTCGGCTGTCGCGGTAGGTGGTGGTGGCTGAAGAACGAACTCCGCAGGGCTTATATTATTCATCTAATACAACTGTAACTAGAATTGTCAATCAGATACACTTCGTGATCCGAAATAACGTAGAAATTGCTTATATTGATCTCTGATTGATGGCGAATGAAAATGATTAAATTATTTTAATTCCCAGAAAACCTCTTCTATAAATGTATTTCAAACATCTATCACTATTCACTACTATCGACAAGTTCCTTAAATATTTTGCCATAGAGTTATAGTTTATCGAATTTTATAAACTTCATCTTACAGTTATTATAATTTAAAATCTAAATTATAACATATTTTATTATCCGTTGTCTCCAAATATGTTAAGGTTCTAATCTATTTTAAATAGTATTATGCATAGTAAGTATACATTTTATATGTTCAATATTGCTTTTTATAAGAATTTTAAATACGATAACTAACTGTCATTTGTCATAGATTTTTTTCTTATATCGTCGATGTCATAAATTATTAAACAAAATTAATATTACTACCTATGTTATATTGTATTATTGAGTGTTCATATTTTGCTTTAACAAAATATAACCATGAAAAAGGTGGGCAAGTGGGTGTCGCTCTTCTGTACAATAATACAGTATGTTAGAATAGGTACTAGTAGGTTACAATTGGGTCACTGTAATGGGTGAAAAATAACCGAGTGCAATATTGGTACTCATATGAAAAGGTCATTATAAGCTCAATCGGTAAACGTAAACTCTTGTATTGTGAACTGTGATCAAGTTCAGCTTGGAATTAATTACTCCTACAAGTCCTACTCAATAGTAAAATAAATGTTCAAAATACTATTCAAATTTGAAACTTATTAAAATTGACAATAAATTAAAATTGTGAATCATGCAGCACATACCTCATAAACAGCTCCTAAGGGCATGACTAAACATGCTACCATTAAATCGGCGACCGCTAACGAAACAATGAGATAGTTGGCCACGTTTTGTAAATTCCTCTCCAACAAAATTGCTGCAATCACCAACGCGTTACCTGCAAATATTATAACTGTGTAATTTTAATTTATTTCACATACAAGATATAAAGAACAATGCTGGTAGTTTTGGAATTTTATGATGCTTAACAATAGATATAATATTATAAATAATTTATTGCATTGCGTTTATGAATTCCATCTCGTATTTTACCGTTTTTAAACCTTTAGGTAAAAACAAAATAATAATAATGATTATTTTTTTAATAACAAACATAATGGCACTGGATTATTCATGGAAATTAATTTTTCTCCTCGTGGTTAAATGTATTACCTGTTTATAAGCCTATTATATTTATAAAAATATTAATTTACTACGAGTTATATCAGTAGGTTTATAATTCCAGAAAAATTCAAAATTCAAATAGACTTTAATTTTTTCATTCTTAATTTAAGTTAATGTAAAATTGTTTACAAAATATTAATTTTATTTAAAAATAAAATAAAAACATCCAGAAATAAAACGGATCGTTATTGTTATATACATTTAAATTTAACCCTCGAGAAAAACAAATAATTATTCGATTCTGGAACGAGTGAATAATTAATTTAAATGTGAGTTTTAATATATTGTTATATTGGGTAGTGAGTACACGAATTTAATTAAAGATTTTGGCAATGTTTCAAACTATTGAATGAAAACAAAAATAGTCTTACTATCACTAGTAAATTAAAAAAAAACCAATTAAATTTATTTGTTCATTACAATTAATGTCTTGTATTTCTTGATTACAACAGTTATAGTAACAAAAAATATAAATATCAATGAAAAGTTCTCATGGAAAATTAATTTTATAGATGACCTGCAGAGTCTGTAGATTTGTTTGTCGGCAATTATATTTTATTTTACGATATAATATCATGGTATTGCTAAAAGGTAATTATTGAAGCTACCTACTAAATGGTAGTATAAAGTGCAGGTAGTCGTAGAACGATTTAACAGCCGATCAATGCACTATTATGATAAAAAGCAATACGACAATCCCATGAGCCTCAGATATTTGATAATACCTATAAGCACACAAATTACAATGATATATTTTACCGTGCGTAGATATTTTAGCACACAGTGGCCTGAACATAAATTTATTCGTATACCTACTTCTACATTTCAATCGGATGTGATTTGTACTTATTTCCCCCATATAAACATCCTTTGACAATAATAAATTGTATAATAATGTAATTTCGCATTGTCGAGTTTCTAAAAAATAACATTTATTTTACATAATGTTTACATTTTATTTTTAAATCGAATGAGAATCGCATTATCGACGTTTATTTTTATCCATAAGCTCGCTTTTATTGTCTATACTGCCTCTTGCGTCTGGCTAATCTTAACGTTTGTATTATTTCCATTTTATTTAGCCATTGCCACTTTCGCGTCTATCTGAAAATAGTTTTTTCATTTTTGGCCAGTTGCTTAGCATACAAATTATCTCTCCCAAATTGAAACAAAATGAAGAAAATATATAAATATTATACTACAATGTCGAGGAAGTGGTATAAAACATTAAACCACTTAAAATTTTATGTTTCACGTCATTTCACAGTATCTCATTCAGAATGACGTACAGTTTGGACATTGTACAGAACTATTAGAAACTATTAAATATAAGTTAAAAAGGTCAAATTATAACTATTTTATTTCATCAAATTAATTTTATTATTTAACTTTATTCATTTTCATAGTTTTCTTCTTAACAATTATAGAATTTGTGTTGTATTTATGAGAGTTAACGTACCTACGTAATATTCAAAAGATATTGAATAATAAGGCCAATGAACTGAAGAGATTTGCGATAATATACTCCTCATAATAGACTTAAATTTATGGAAGTATGATCCATTATATTCATTTCTTAATTAATTTTTGCATTTTGATTACATATACAATTTTCCTTATAATTACATTGTTTATTAACTAAAATAATAGATAACTAAAGTGTAAAATATGATTATGTGTATATTATTATATTTTCTTCAAACGTTATAAATATTAAAACTCATTTAAGCCAATTTCATCAGATAGGTAAAGTTACTAGTAGGTATACCTACAAACAAAAAATGTATATTTTTTTGTTGCCGACTCAAAATGGTAAATATATTACATTGGTACGTTAGTTATCAAGTTTATAAATATTTGTAATAAATATAATATTTAAAAGGAAAAGTGACAATAATTAACTACCAATATTGATATATAATCAAAACGTATAAAAACCATATCAGTATAATAATAATTTAAATGCAGTGTATATATAGACAACCATAATTTTTTATAACAATTATAATTAAAAAAAGTTAATCAAAATAAAACTATAAATTATTATTTCTGTTTGAGATAATAATATAATATATGCTTATAAACAAAATAGCACTTTAAAATGGTTATTAAATTTAGTAAATATAGTTGTAAAATGAAGCTGTTTTCTACTTTTCTCTGTGGAACAAAAACTATATACACTTTTGTTGTAAATTGACAATATTCGTATTGTGGTAGACGGTAGACTATATTGTTACTACTAACAGTACTTGTGTTAGTAAAAAGTTAAAAAGTACATGTGATGTTAAAGTAACCATGGGCACATTATATTAAACACTACGGAAAGGATCTCATTCAATTGTAGCTATTATAATATTATACGTGAAACGGCGAAAGCATATTTAACTAGACATAGTTAGTAGATCCAAAGCGGTCATTGTGTTGTTAAATGCCGTATTTTAGATAAACCACTGACAACAGCAAAATATGAAAGTCTCTTATTTACTAAAATATCATCTTCTGCGTTTCATTTTGTCAGTAGTATACAACAAAACTCGTGCTAACATCCCGCTATGATCTTATATACAACCATTACATTTTTATATTCTTTTATCTTTTTGTTTATTAAAAATGTGTTACATATATAAATGTATATATAAATACTACGTACCTCTAGAATACTTCCCTATACTGAGTACTCAGCCTGTACGGTTGTAAGTAATGTTGGAAAAACCAATTGTATAATTTATCCAACGGAGGAATTCATATTTGAGAAAATTCCTCATGGAAATATATGCGATGATGGGAAGAAAAAAAATATAAATATATTTTGTTATATGATCGTTATCTGAATAATATGTTTAAAGTATTTAGTAATATAATTTATAAAAGAAGAAATAATTAGACATTTTTAATGTTTCCAATATTATATAAACTTAAACTGTTCCATCAATTTTAATAAATATTTGTTCAAATTTTTAGAATACTGATATCCAAATATTTTGTGAAACCGTCGCATACTAACTATGTTTCGTAATAATTAAAAAATATCTTATGGTTTAATATTCTGATGTAAATTTGTGAAATTATAATCATTATATGATCAATTTTTATTAATTTTAAATTTAACTTGTATATTTTATACCATCCTAAGAACTTGGGTGGTTGATTAAAAGAAAAATTCATAATAGGTTTTGATTATTGAATGTTTTTATGGAAATATTAAGAAACAAAGAGATTTTTAAAGCTTATACGTCCGACATAAGTTCACATAAAAATATCAAATTACAACTTTTCTCATTATGGAATAGTTTTCATATTTTAACTTATATAATTTTAAACAATTATTTGATTGCTATGATAAGTATCCACTATTATTACGTATCTAGTTATGACTCTTGAAAGATTAAAAAAATATAATTTATGTAGCAATTTCCAGCATAATATCTATACTGAATACATATTTTGTTTTTAAATTGAATTTTTGTATTTATCTTTGAATCAATAATTTTATACAAACAATATTTAGTTATCAATAATAAAAATATGTTTTTTCTGATACACATATCCCATTTTTAAATGAGTTACCTATTTTTTGTGTTTTTATGAACTCTAAACGTGGTTCATATAGCATTTTTTTTAGAAAGTAGTTTTTAAATAACTTATGAATGGAAACGTTTTTACGTTATTTTCATTCCTTTAGATCTTCTTTTGCCATTACCTACGCTAGTAACCATTACGCTTCAAAACGCTCGCAACGCTGTTGATTTCATTACACAAGCGGTTTATGCCGTTAGTCTGGTGTTTTTTTACCTTGTGTGAGTGGTTTTAAAATCAGGTAACTAAAAATACATATACGTTTATGTGAGTTGAAATGTCATAAAAAAAAAATAAAAAACCATTACGGTCCAAAAAAAAAGAAATTTTTAAATATGAAAGCACATCAGTATACGTACCAGTGCACTTATGGTACAGTTTTAGTAGTAGTTTTTGTTTAAAAAAATACAGGAAACTGTTCGTTTGTGATGTACAAATTTAAAAAAAAATAATGCAAAGCACAAACGTAATTTTTAAATTTATCGTGCAATTATTTGATTGATGTAATCGGCGTATAAGTGCTGAAGAGCAGGTTGCATTCAAATGTAACAAAAAAGGTAGAAATAAAATCATCTACCTATACCTACCGTAAAATTACGAAATTAAAAAATAAACAAATAACTGAGTTTTAATATTCTAATGAATGTTTTGTTGAAATACAGGTAGTGCCAACCTTATCAAAATAATTACGACTGAATCGATTCATTCGATGTAGTATGAAAAACAAAACAATGCAATCTCCTAACAAAAGAATAATACATGGGATGCGATGACGGGTAATCGTTACCTAGATCGATAATTGGTTGTAATATGGTAAAAAATGCTTATGATGAAAAATAGAATGGTTTTGCAAGCCATTGTTGTCCGTGTGCTGGCAGATAATACCACGGCCGCTGGTGTGTTGTTTTAAATTTTTTATCACTAAACAGAATTTTTTGAACTTAAAGACATTTAATAAGAACAATTTTTATAAATATTCATGTACCTAGTACAAAAATATTATATTGACTGTAAAATGGAAATTCAACAGTCCCGAAAATAATATATATATATATATATATATATTATATGGAAATTATTTCCCCGCTTGACAGGTATGCCTTACAATATAAATAGGTTTTAAGTAGTTGAATCTAGTTTACCACAAGAATAAACATATTCATACATATTATTGTATGCCTTACCTACCTACGCACGTTTCAGAAATTCAATTTTCAGAACCATCAGAATTTACGAGTGAAACTAGGTTTCGAAGTACCTACTTACCTAACGTTCGTTTTAAGTTCATCTTTATAATACCATTATCACGTATCAAAATAACCCGTATATTATTTCACCCGTCCATTTGTCTAATACAATTTATTTCGAGAGAACGTTGTACATGACTCTTAATAATTTGAGTTTATAACAACCCAATGTGTGTTTACATAATATACACCACTCGGTGCATGTTTACATAATATACAAGGGAACATTTTTTTTATCACGTGTAGTGGAGTCATAGTTTATGTGCAGATATATAACATTTTACTGTTTTATATAGCATAGAGTGTGTAATTTTAATCTTTATATATTTGATGATTTTCGTTATAATTACCATATTATAAAATATCCATATAGTTAAGTTTAAAACAAAAAAAATAAAAATCGGTTTGAGAAATTATCCATAAAAACACCCTGCATGCAAAATATTATGTATTATGGGGTCGTACAGTCGTACCAACGCTCAGCCAACAATAGTGATTGACTCACCACAAATGGTCGTCAGAATCATCGCACCCAGTATTATGCCGATGGAGATGACGAATATGTAGTTGGTGAGGTCTTCTACCTCGGCACCAAGCGTGTGATTGTACGAACCGTTCAGGAACGGTTCCATGCCTGCCGTCGCGTTGGCCAGGACGGCGGCCGCTGACGAACCGTTCTCGGTGCCATAGTAGTAGTCGCCTGCGCCGGAACCACCGTCGACGGTGGCCACCGACCGGACGGGCCGCCGGAAGTAGTCGCCAAATCGGTTGCCGGTGGCGGACAATTGGCTGGACTCCGCTGTGGCCGGGTAATATTCAGCGGCACCGTCGCCGCCACTGCCGCCGTCACCGCCACCACTGTCTCCGCCGCCACTTACGACGTCACCACCGCAGTAGAACGTTATCGCGTCGGCCGCCACCCGCAGCACACAGCCCTGGCGTCTACTGCCGGTGGCCGCAAGTGCTCCGAGCAGGGCCATATGATACTCGTCGCGGGCTTGTGGACCGGCCGCCGGATCAAAATTCGTCGAAGACCGTCTGAAAAAAATGATAAGACCAACGATTCAGTATCAATATGACCATGTCCGAATTAATGTGGGGGAGGGCCTGCAACGGTGTAGCATTTTGCAGACATTTTAAAAGTGTGACAAATCACCTTAACAGGCCAGATAAAAAATTAATTGTGTGTTATTGTTGATTGAAAGGCTTTATTCCATGCAGAAATATCATATAGTTTTGTAATTTTATCCATTTTTGGTATAAATGAACACGGAAACAGTTTAATAAATATGGATCTGAATAATGAATATAATATAACGACTAGTTAAGATCGCACGTGTTTCAAACAAGCTATATAATACTATACAGTTGTAGGATCTCTAAAGTTAAAATCACATTGACGTGACACTCTGTTACTTATAAAGCAGAATAGGCAAGGTATAAGGCCACCGAGTTTTAGAATTTTAACTGGCCCTTAGTTGACAGCCCATTTTTCAGTAAGACTGAATCAGTATTTATTATTTATTACCTATTTATTATTATTCATATTTAATTGTTGAGAGTTCGGTGTATTTAAATATTTTTGGTCATAATATAGGTTTTACTAAACTGGACCAAATTGTACACATCTACGGAGTTCAACTCGGCAACTCACCTTGTCTATCCTACCTAAATCATTATTTTAAGATTTCTAGAAAATGTTCAAGAGTATTATAATAAGGTTGCAGAAAAAGAATGAACTTTATTACATAGTATCATAATATAATTTTTTTTAAGAAAAAAAGTTTTTTAATATGTCCTTAATTAATTTAATTAGTTTATTTATTGTCAGAATAAAATAGAAAAAATTGATACCGATTTTTGAACTGACCTCCCTTCCACCCCCATAAATCATGGGTTCGATGAATATTCATAATGCTTATTGCTAATATAGGAACTTCTAAAATGTAGACCCACGGGGTGGGCGCAAAACATATAATTATAGGTTTTTAATAATATTTTGTTATAGGTACCTAGTTTATCGAGTTATCACTTTTTATACAGAATATGGTTAACTCTGATAAATTATATTTAAAGTTGAAACCAACACAATGGTGATACAAATTATTATTATTATTTTACAACAACAATCTAGAAAAATACAAACTTGTGATTAACTCATAGGTACAATTTATAAACTTGAAAAATTAGTCCCATTGCCCATATTAGCCATATTTAAATTGGTGAACCATGAGTAATGTAGGTATAATATTAAATAAAAATAATGAAATAATGTCACGAAATGTTTTTATTTAGGTAAGCATAATATTATAATTTATTGTTGGTGGACAAACAGAACAATATATAGGTATATCACGAAAGGCGAGGTTGAAAATATGAAAGAGCCATATTAATATTTTTTTGATTAAACTAGTGTTATAACCCCAAAAATATAAAGTAATCAGTAGTATTTAAAACAACTGTATTTTAACGTGCTTTTAAACATTAATATAATAATATTTTGCAGTACATATTATGTGACCGATTTATATCAAATTTAATAAATTGTTGGACAGTTTCAAATTAACCAGTTGTTGAAGATTAGCATTTCAATCTCAACTTCCATTAAAAATTACCCAGTTATGCAATGGATGAAATACTATAAGAAACTAAATGAGTATTTGTTGTGGTTCGTTTGTTAAAACTCGCTTTTACTGAAATAACTCCATTATACGAACTACAAAAGATTGAAATAATAAATTGAGTTTTTATTAAAAATGGCAAATGACTAATCGTAAACAAATCTGGTTTCTACAAAATACTCATTGGTACAATATTATATATTTAACTTTTTAATTTTTATTTCAATCACTGTCAGTCAAAGCTAATAATTTACCCGTATATTGATTGTATACCATTTTATAAAACATCTTATTCAACTACCCGGAACTGATCAAATTTGAATTTAAACAAATAGTTTTTCCTAGGCACCTTTTCAATAATACAACAATCGGAAATTATAACAAGTAATAACATTTTAATATAAATTATACTATTTGCTTTCTATAGAAATCGGCGTTTAAATGTCTTAAACATTTTTTGTGAATATTGTTATTTCTAATTTATTCAGTACCTAGTATTAAGTTATTTCGTTTTTATCGACAAAACGTTACAATAGGTATTATGTACGAACAATATCGACTAAACCTACTGCGCCATTGCAATTATGCTGCGTGGAAGTAATTAATCTTGATTGTTTTGCTGTATGTGGGTTTGAGTGATTTAATTATGCCCCATGAAATCGTTTCTAAAACGTTCCGAGTTTGGTTTGATATGAGAATATGATTAGCTAAAGCCTACACAACAGTAATTCATAATATTAAAATTAAATTCATTATGTATTAAAACGTACAACGTATTCCATATTATAGGTATATACATCAAACGGAATACGGACACAACTATGCCTATGTATAATGATACAATGTTTACAAAAAAAACCACCAACAAATAAATTAACCATACTATCGATTGAATAAACTAATTGTTATTGCAGTGACCTTCATAATTAAATCATCAAAGTTTGATGGATACAATGTATACCACCCTCTAGATATGTCAATACTATACCATGAAATTTAATATATATATATTATATGCATATAATTACGTCCCATACAGTGAAATACGTGGAATAAAATTAACGTCAGTACAATGTATAATATATTAGGTATATAAATATATAATATAATATTATTTGGTCGGTTTTTTTAACAATGCCAATTTATACAGTTAGAGATCGTGAAATAAGATACTTGAAATACAAAAAACATTTTATTGATTTATCAATAAACAGCGAATTCTTTATAAGCAATTTCAATTAAACCAAATCACTTTTTTTTTTTTTTTGACTAAAAGAAATACACTTTATTCGAGTAATACAGAATACAGATCCTCAATTATTATAATTATGGAATACCCTTTGCTTAAAAACATTTTATACATTTCTTTAGTCACCAATGTTGTAAATTACATTAAATTTTATACAACATATTATACTAAAAGTATAAGAGGTACAATTTATAATCTGTATTAATTGTGAATTTCAAACTTTCATTTACTAGAGATAATGTAAATACCAAAAATATTTCCATACTATATAATATGTATAAATTATTAAAAAATTGTATTGGTAGTTAAATGCGTACATACCATTAAAATTATTTTGATTTTGCTTTCCATATTGTGTGAAACGCTAAGTAGGTATTTATGGAACTATGAGTAAATGTAAGTAATATTGGTAATTTTTATGTTGTCCTATTGTTTTGAAGTTAAATTTAAGTTTGACATAAACAACTTAACACGATGTTACAATGGTACGATTGCAGTTGCAACATTTGAAACACCAAGAATATTCAAATTCGTAAATTTAAATTATGCTGTTTGTCATGTTATTGGGTACTTACCAGCTAATATATTAATTTTTTTGGATTATGATAGTTAAAACTACTAAAAATATAATAAATACATAAACTTTATGCCACCCGGCCTTAATATTATTTATACTTAGCTCAGCATTACTTTTAGCTTTGAACTCAACAATATTTTGCTAAGCATTAAAAAAAAACTTTTTAATTTAATCTTTACACACATTTTTGTATTAAAGGATTGATCTGACCATTGAAGGACAGAAGGAGGGATTGAATATCGACTGTAACGTAAAAAAGTTGGCAATACCAAAAATGTAACCCAAATAAATTACGCCACTGCATTGTTAAACAATATTAGTTTTAATTTTATTAACGAATTCCAATGCAAAATATTATGGTATTGTACTCATAATCCATTTAAACTATTCCACATAGTGATTGTTATAGATTTAACCATTTAAGTTTTTAGCACTGGGCGATGGTATAAAATGTTATCTCTATACATGGTCAGCAATTAACTCCGCATAAGATCAATATGTATAGCTTTTCAGATTTGTATTACAGTTATTATCATTCGTTATGCATATTTACTGCAATTATAATATATTATAAATAGTAGTCAAAGTTAGTATAAATAAAAAATCATAAAATATAAACTTTTGTAAACTGAAATATGGACAGAGTGTTAGATTTTCATCGTATTTAGATGAAACCAGCAAATAGCAGCGTATTATCAAACTGTAGATTATTATAAAGCTGCATATTATCAGTTATCTATTAGTCTTTTTTACATGGAAAATAACAATTTTGTCGTTACAATTTTTTTTAACCAATTTAAATGAACCCTGTACCGTTTTAAAGTATTAAATATTTTCCCTAACATTTTTGAGAAATATTATAAAATTTTCATTAATACCTAAATTAATTTATTATAGATGCCAACTATGAATACATAATAGAAAATTGAATTCAATATTTTAATATTCTTGGTGTGCTGAACAATTTATTCTTTATTTTTAAATATATGATTTTTCAAAGGTGTTCAAAGGTGTTTAGAATATTATAATATTAAATATGATATTATACACTCATAACTCATAAGAATAATCTTATATGACATCAAAGGTGAGCTACGCCGCAATACGCACACCTATAAGATCATACAATTTGTTGTGACATTTAAGAGGACGCTACACTCACATCCGCTGTCTCTGTCTTACAAATATTATACATATAACATTGCAAATTGTACATTCTATATAATACATTTAACTCTGTTATGTTTAATATTAGAGTCAACTGACTTGCCACCAACGATCAAATTTAAAAGTAAGAATATTATCTAGTGATTCTAGTACATTGTTTTAATGATTATAGTTTTAAAGCGAGTTATGCACTTTCAATATTTCTAATTATTTGTATAATGTAAGTGGGTTATGTATGTAGCGTTTTATTCAAATATTTTTAGAAAAAAATTTATCTTTAGAATTTTAAGGATAAACAGTAAACACTGACGGATATCTAAAACATAAATTGATTAATTCCAGAATTAAAAAAAAAAAAACCGTTTT